CTTTACGTTGGCCTCGAGAGCACGCTACCTTACCCACGACTCTCAGAAAATAGATTAAAAAAATACAAATAAATTACAATACACGACAAATTTAGTGAGATTTATTACGAAATCTAGCAAGTGAATTTATTTTTAGAATCTGATTTTATTTTTAAGATAATAATATAACAGCTTTATATACTCTCAAATCTAAATATGGCTTCGAAAAAATATTTTGAAAATCAACTGTGACTATAAGGAGATTTTCACTGCTGTTCACATGCATCTATTTGCACGATTCTAATTTTCTGCTAAAACTAAGCATTTTATGATGTATATAGCTTTCACAGAGACTATAATATATATTTATTAGCAGTTTTGCGATAAGTATTTTTATATTAACAGAAACCATGATGATAAACAATATCACGAGTAGTGGTTTAGCAAATCTTATGAAATCAGTCTTAATTTCTCAATTCTAGTGATATTGAACTATGGTGATTTAGGTCCAAAACTTTCTCCATTTCTTAATTTCTTAATCGCCCAAAGACTTGCTTAATATACATTTAAGTTTACTGATAATGACTTGTTAACTCTCTGGACTTCTTACTGTAGTAGAAGATATTAAGTGGACTAGTGGACATAATATATATATGTATAATATCTATATCTGATGATTTATGACCAAAAAGATTCTCAATTTCTTGAATTTTCTATCTCATCAACGATTTGCTAAATATCAATTTAGTTAGATACATTGATGTACACTGGTAACGTCTTTATACCTCTATCTTTAGTACCGCATATTATGACTAATACGAGATTTGGACCAGCATTCTTGATAATTTATGACGTTATTCTTGATTTCTTGAATTTATTATCTCTCCCAAGAACTTGTTGAATATCAACTTATAGATGCATTGATAATTACTGCTAATCTCTTTACTATGACGAGTAGTGGACTAGCGAGTCAGTCTTCATGTCTTAATTCTACTAATCTCACCAAAAGACTTGCTGAATATCAATTTAGTTAGATACATTTATAATCACTACTAACCTCTCTACTATGATAAAAGATATGAGAATTGGACTGGTATAGACTATATAAATATAATATACAACTGATGATTTATGACCAAAACATTCTTTAATTTTCTTATCGTCCATTTGACCTCCTTCTCACCCCGCTATATGTTTTATTTCCGCTATATAAAATGTATTTTGTACCGAACTGACCGATCAAGTTAGCTATTGTATACAGGCAATCAGACGAACCGTGGTATGCATTCGATCTATGTTTTTTTGATCCTATTTCCACTCTGATGTGACGACCACATGTTGCTTGCGGTGTGAAAATCTGCAATCTTGAAACTGTTGAATACGAGAATTGTGGGAACAGGATTTAATTTGATGGTTCAAATATTTTTAATTTGCTATCGCAAGGTCAGCGATGTATATATATAAGTCATGTGATATCACATATGTATGAATATTTTAAACAAAATTTTCTCATTCAGCCACTGATAATTTTGTTTTATTTTCATTGAAGATATGGGATTTGTTACGTCATCAAATCCATACTACAAGGCATACCTCAAACTTTTAGGGTGTGTAGCATTAACAAAAAGAGATGGGATAAGTTTTTGAGAATTTTCTTCATAATTACAACAAATATTTTATAACACACCTCTGTATGTTTACTGTTAATTTTGCATTTTTTCCAGTTCTGCATTATTATAAGTATTGTGCAATCGTGGAGTATACATCATGCATCACTTCACTAAGTAAATTCAACTCAAAGTCTAAAAAAATGATGCACAATTATTGCACAATCGTCTGTAATCCGAAACATCTGCCTCTCTTCCCTCTCAAGACTCTAATAGACAATTGTCAGGTTTGAATAGACGCAGATGTTTCGGACTAAATCATCTGAACAAAAAATAAATCTAAAAATGCACAACACTTATTGGGTTTTAAGATGTAAAAGGAGATTTGTTTTGATGAACAATTAAATGTCGTGTTATTAATTATTGCATCGGTGCGCACAAACTGAGGTTACATCGACCTTTTCATTTTCTGGTGCATTATATAGTGCATCTGTCCAGAGGCGTTTCTGAGGGAGACAGCAAAGAGACTGGCCCGTCTTTGCCCCTCCTCCACTTATGTAACAAACAAATCGTTTTATAGACTCTAGAGGGATAACATTTCTCAGAAATTTAGATCAGCAACACGAAACGTGTTCAGTTATATAACACACTAATCGCCTGAATGTTATTCACTCACTCAAGTAGAAAGGAAGGGCTTTTTCAAGTTAGAGGAAAACGTTTTGTCCTTGCTCGACATTTCATCATGATAACAACATAAACATATGTAATAAATACATTACACAGTACATAGAAAATTACACATGAAAAGGAGTTTGATGTCCTACTTTCCTGAACTGTAATGATATTTTTAGAATAAAGCCAAGCGTTTAAGAGAGCAATAAGGAGTACATACATTCTTCTGATATTCTATGTCAATACGGGAAACAACTTAACGACGCCTTACCTTCATTCCTGAATTGACACTCATGACCATTAGAAATGAAATGAAATGAATGGAGTTCTACGTCCTATTTTTCTGCACCATATGGGCTAATGAAGACGGGGTCGTGACCATTCAACAATTCCCTAACCAATGTTTTTGGGGATTCCATGAATTTTCCTATTCATCCATGTAAATAGTACTCGATCGAGTCGACAAGGGTACATCAACCCAATAATATCTATTAATCAAATGCAAGTAAAAATTTTCCTCCATATTATTATAAAAGCAAACAACTTAAAGTACATGTCATGTGAAAATTTTTAAAAATTGGTCAAATAATCCAAGTGTCAGGTTTTATTTTGGTGTTTTTATGGTAAAATGAGATATTTTATCCATTATCTGTTTACTCATCCAGCCATCAAGTGTCAAATAAACATTTTAATATGTAGATATACTCTGATGTTTTATTTATGTCCGTTTAACATTTTAGTTTGAAACCAGATATTACTAGAGGTCCAAAATGAAATGAATGTTGTTTTACGTCCTACTTTTCTGCATCATGTGGGCGGGTACTGTAGGTCAAGATTAGCTCATAAATGCTATATATCTTGATAGATGTCAACCAGTTATATTCAGTAAAATTATGCAGTATTTTCGATATTATTGTAGGTCGAGATTAGCGTGTAAATGCTAAATAGGTTAACGAAGAAGAGAGAGAAGCAAAAAAAAAAAAAAAAAAAAAAATAGAACAGCTTATGTTCACGAGAACTTTTGCCAAACATCTTAACATTGATCTTTCCAAATATCATCCGCGCCCGATTCGATTGGAATAATGATAACTTGTTCCATTTCATCGAACTTTCATACCGATTGAGATTAGAACCTACGACCACTATACCTGTTTTGACGTCTTAAAAGACATCCAAAGCTCTAACCGATTTTGCTACAGGAATGTGAATAGTTTTACAGTGTTTCCCATATCTATTTCTGTAGAAACTCGTCCACTACATCGTGGAAGTGACTGAGTAATGTATCGTCACACTGTCTGACTGTTTTTAGATATATATATATATAAATATATACGACACTCGGCAGCGATCTGTCAATCTTTAATAATTTAGAGGATGACATGCATAATTTATTGATATTTTTAAAATGATGCATAGGACAACAAATTTCAACATTTCTTTTATCTTAAGGACAACAGATGTCAATATTTCCGACAGTTTCACGTAAATTTACAATGTAAGATTCTCACAAAATCAAAATATAAACGAGATAAGCACTAAATAAAAGACAAGAGCATGTTTCTACTCTAGATTCAGTAAATAAAGATATGTAACGCTATGCAGTATGCTATACTGGAAATTCATCCAGTGAGACCAGTGTGGTATGTTACCTAATAAATCAAAAACAAAGGGACAGTCGTTTTTACCAATCATACTTTAATCTAAAAAAACAGGAGCAAATCTAAGTTAATCTGTTCACAATAATGTTCACAGCTTACCGTCGAAATTTGAGGTTTCAAATCTATGTGTGTCATCTTTATTTGAGATACTGTCATATATATATAAAAGACATGTATAGAAATAGGAAAAGAAATTCCTCGTTTGAGATATTTTGAAGGAATTTTGCGATTTTCTTACAAATCTTGTACTTCTGAGTAATATAGCCTAACCTGTGGAATGGCCTAGTCATTAGGTGTCGTGGTGAATTCTCTTTAAGATAAGGAAAATTCCAATGCCACCGTCACTGCTTCCTAGAGTGTCTACTTTCATCACTAAATACCTAAATGTCTAAAGAATTATTATTAGATATTGTGTGATATTTCAATGTTTTTTGTTAAAAAAAAAAAATTTTTTAATTATGCTCTTGCAAACTTGATTTAAAGGGACGGTCTGATTTAACGCGAGGAACCTGGTTTATTATGAGTGATACTTCATCCTGTGCATAATTTCTTACCGATGGCGATCGAGGAACTGTTTTCAACATTAAATTTGATTCAAGTTGGAACTTTTAAAAGAGGAGAAGGACATACAAGCGGTAGAATATTTCAGGTTCCATGCTTCAAAATGATACGAAAAAAATCAGACTGTCTCTTTAAATGATAAATGTTTTTAAAAAATGCAATCGATTTATTATTTTTCATCTGCTTAACCTTTTATCAAATGTCACAACAAGCAGATTGTGCAATATTTAAATATTGTTGTTAAGTTAGATTCTAGAATGATATCTTATCTCCAAGAGGTCTTGCGACATCCCAAGAAATGTCGTTAAGCAATAAATTACTACCTTGAATTAAACAATGAATTAAAAAAAAAAACATAATTGCAAAATAGTATCAAAATACTGAGGGGGAAAATTTAGCAGATGTTTTACTGGGTGTTATGGTGAAATTGTTTTGAAAAAGCAAGCACATTTATTTCCCTTACTTGTTATTAGTGAAAAAAAAAAGAATTAGTTTACAATGTTTACAACAATACGTTACGGAAATGTATCAAAGAAATATTGCAGAGCATCGTAGAAATATCACAAAGCATCGTAGAAATATTACAAAGCATCGTAGAAATATTACAAAGCATCGTAGAAATATTACAAAGCATCGTAGAAATATTACAAAGCATCGTAGAAATATCACAAAGCATTGTAGAAATATTACAAAGCATCGTAGAAATATTACAAAGCATCGTAGAAATATTACAAAGCATCGTAGAAATATCACAAAGCATCGTAGAAATATCACAAAGCATCGTAGAAATATTACAAAGCATCGTAGGAATATTACAAAGCATCGTACAAATATTACAAAGCATCGTACAAATATTACAAACCATCGTAAAAATATTACAAAGCATCGTAGAAATATTACAGAGCATTGTAGAAATATCAAAAAGTATCGTGGAAATATTACAAAGCATCATGGAAATATTACAAAGTATCATGGAAATATTACAAAGTATGATGGAAATATTACAAAGTATCATTGAAATATTACAAAGCATCATGGAAATATTACAAAGTATTATGGAAATGTTACAAAGTATCATGGAAATATTACAAAGTATCATGGAATTATCACACAAAAACAGAATTTCAACACTTTGATCCTCTTCTATAAATCAATATAGACTCCGTACAACGATATATTGAGTATGATGAAATAAGAGTTTATGATAGAGAGTTTGTGAAGAGGTTTACTACTTCCTTTTAAGTGTACCAAGGATCGTTTATGGCTCCTATCAGCATCATTATATTACATCACTTAAGAACTACGCGATGACATTTGTACTTTAATTCAATGTCAATATGTCTGTACTTTTATCATAAATTTATCTACTGACATTTGATAAAAGTACAAAAGAATGTCACAGCGCATTTCTTTCATCAAAGAAGGTAGTCGCTGTGGTTCAATGAGCTAGTGATTGCAAACCTTAAGGCCCAGATACAGACATACATCGAGTTAAACCTGCGGATCTTTCAACAGGGTTTACCCCTATCAGTGATGCTGGTGGGAAGGGCTAACAAGTGAAAAAGGGTCTAGTCGTTTGCATTAGACAATAAACCGAGTCCCCGTGTGTCACAGGCAGTGTACGCTAAAGACCCCACTACAATTGGAAACCAAAACACTGCATGGCGTTACCCGTCTGAATTAGCCAAAATAAGTGAAGAAAAGTAGGACGTAAAACTCCGTTCATTTCATTTAGTCAAACAAGCTTATTGTTACAACGAATACGACTAAACCGAATGGTATGAACGACTATATAGATCTTCTATGTTCTATGTGGTCAAATGACCCTTGCACTAGTGGCCGAAGGGAGGTAACTCTATTGAAAGATATTTATCTTCAGACCGGTGTATTCTTTAACTAATTTGAATTTGCTACATTTGAGAAGCAGGGCATATTCAATGTTTCGGAATACTTGATGCTACTATGATGGGGTTTGTAAAACTGGGGACCCCAGATAGCTAATATTGTTTACCAGGAAAGTCTTATTCATTCATAGAAGGGAAATAATCATAACACACAAGTAGGCTACAGACCGACCATATTATAGATTCCGCTCAAATATAACCAAAAGTAGACCTCTGTAACGAAATGAGGTTTGTACTCCCAATTGTACCCAAACTCTATTTCTAACAAATTTTGAAACTATGATTTGTGTACATTTTTGCCCAAAAATATTGCCAGGATGCGCCAAATTGATTCTATTTTTCCAAAAACTTTCTTAAGGGGAAACCCGACAGTTATCCTCCCCCTCCCCAGTTAAGTCGGTCTGTCAATTATTTGTACCACCTATCCTAGGAGGCTAGTACCGCCACTGATCTTTCACAACTGTCTATAGAGGAAGTATGCCAAAAGATCTAAGATCAAAGAAACCGACAGGGATTTAAGTGGGCTATTAACTTGCTAAGGCTTGCTAAGTGGATTACGGCAGATTAATCGTGTACTAGGGATCTACTAAACTGCCTGAATTGCAATTTACGGAGATATCTACCACAGTTTTTGTTTATTTAAGGAACCCCAAAAATGCCAATGTTACGCTAGGAAGTTATCATGCCATATACACTAAATTGTACAAACATAGTGAATTGAAGAGGTAAGGGAACATCCATTTTTTAGGGGGCGGGGGAGAGCGGAAGGGGGGGGGGGGGGGGGTTGGGGTTTGGAGGCTTGTGCAGTGTGTATTATCTACCCATGAATAACCCCCATGCATGGCAAAGGAGCCCAATTAATGTGAGTTATCTTCCCCTGCTTATGACATCAAAATATGATTGAACTGTGATGTTCACACACTCCTGTGAACGTTTTATTTTATAATAATGAACAAACTATTTCATCATAGCTAATTCTGGTATACTGTGTTCACTACTTCACAAATTACAAAAAGTACTTGGAAACATCTGTTATATTCTGATCTGAATCGTCCCGGATGTAGGCCAACAGCAAAACCGTCCCTGGTAAGATTGTAATCGCCATTGCCAGAACACAGTCATCTTAACGATATTCCTTTTAATGACAAATATCTTTCACCGGAAGTCACTTAACGTCACGTCAAGGAAACAATTTTTGTTTTAATTTTCTGAAAGGAATCATTGTTCGGCTTCTGAAGTTCGGATTAATGATACTATAAATAATAGGGTTAGCTACACTTCCTAGAAAATACGATCTCAATCCAAACATATACATATATTCAATCCATTTATACGATCCGTAGTGGAAAAATTCACCAGAGGGCAGTAACGTCTCTTTAAAGTAAGACCCGGATGAACGTAACGTCTGCAACGTCAAATATGGTACGAAACTGGCAACACCAGTCAGTGTGACCGTAGTCATACAAAATGTCGTTCTACTGGATCGCATCCGAATTCCACCAAAGCCTCCCAAAGAGTCTTCACTGGTGCGGACCTCCACTTGATTGGTTTTCATCTTCAACCACCGTTTCATAATCACTCGTAAAATATTTCCGTTGAAGAAAAAGAACATGGTAAAACATACAATATAGACAAAATACAACAGATAATTATACAGTAAGGCGTAAATGGATCCTTTGAACTGGTCAGCGAGAGAACAGTCCTCCCCAACGACTCTATCAGGACCGATAATCATAGTTCGACGTCCAACCATTAAGACCTGCGGCCACGTCAACGTAAAGGAAATCACAAATACGATAAAGGCTACAGATTTAGCTCTGGAAATGGTATACGTATGAAACGGGTAACAAATTTTCACGTATCTTTCACACGAAATACAGATAAAGATGAAACCGGAATATAAGTAAGATTGTTTTTCCAAAGATCGCATAATTTTACATACAGTCGGTAAAGCATTGATATAAGGATTCCATAAATCGTAAATCGAGAACGGAATAAACGACATACAGCTCACAAAATCTGTAATGGCTAACACCAGGATGAAAAAATTGGCTGAAGTTTTGGGTGAATAAAACTGGTATATGATTATTACTAAACCGTTTCCAAGGCAGCCTGCCAACATGAGAATTATCAAGAAGATTATAACAGGAACATTTACCAAGCGACGAGCGTCATTCAGCTCCAAAAGCAGAGTTGTATTGTAGATGGGTTCAGAGAGTGGAGTTCTGTTCCATTCCGTAAAAATATCCGAACTATTCACAATCGTAAAATTATTGTTTAAGAATTCACGCGAATTATTCATTTTTCTAAGATCTCCGATCATAGTAAAATTGGAAGTATCACAATGTATTAGCTGTACTTAATCTCCGATCTGTGATATCAGTTAGCTGGAAGCGGACGTTAACTTGTCATCGACCAGCAACTACTTAGTCTGTGATATCAGTTAGCTGGCAGCGGACGTTAACTTGTCATCGACCAGCAACTACTTAGTCTGTGATATCAGTTAGCTGGCAGCGGACGTTAACTTGTCATCGACCAGCAACTACCTAGGCTGTGATATCACCTGGAAGCGGACGTCTATGATTTCATGTAGCTTACTCCAGATGATTTGTGTATGTACGCGTTCTGTAATATGGTCCTGGTCACATTCAATAGTAAATCATACCCACACAGCTGTTGTTGATACTAATTTGGTTAGGCACCTTCCATCATATATGGTGTTATTTTTTCTGAAATTGTAAAATATTATTTACCATAAACATCCAAAAGAATCAGAAGCTAGAGTCGAGCTAAGTTTTTTGTGCTTATTCCGATATCAAAAGTAGTGGACCCCGTTTCTCAAAATCTCCTAAAATAACATTATAAATTAACGCTAAAAGTCCTTTTCCAAAGATGGATTTGACCGGGAACTGAAAACATTACCGAATCGAACAAAACGAACGTCGCAGTAAACCAACAGGTCCTTGTTACAGGGCTCATATCCGCACTTTGATTTAAATTACAATCAGAATCCTTATAAATGGGCTGTACTTGTGTTGTTTATTGGATTGGCCCATGCCGAAACCAGATTTCTAGACGGATTTCGACAAGACCTGTCTCAGAAGCCTTCAAATTCAAATTTGAATTATGACTTTGTGATAATTGTCTGGTGATGAAATTGACTAAGTTTTATTTTACAAGATGTTCAGAATTATAAAACGCCAAACTGGCATACATCCGGTACAGAAATTTGTGTCAAAGTCACACATTGGGTTCAGAACTGTAAGCCACACACGAGGTACAGAAGTTTTTCCATACACCCGTTCAGAACTGTAAGCCACACATGAGTTACAGTAGTTTAACCCACAAAACCCGTTGAGAACTGTAAGCCACACACGAGGTACAGAAGTTTCACCCACACACCCGTTCAGAACTGTAGGCCAAACACGAGATACAGAAGTTTAACCCACACACCCGTTCAGAACTGTAGGCCAAACACGAAATACAGAAGTTTAACCCACACACCCGTTCAGAACTGTAAGCCACACACGAGGTACAGAAGTTTAACCCACACACCCGTTCAGAACTGTAGGCCAAACACGAGGCACAGACGTTTAACCCACACACCCGTTCAGAACTGGAAGCCACACACGAGGTACAGAAGTTTAACCCACGCACCCGTTCAGAACTGTAAGCCACACACGAGGTACAGAAGTTTAACCCACGCATCCGTTCAGAACTGTAAGCCAAACACGAGGTACAGAAGTTTAACCCACACATCCGGTGCAGATCTTTAAGCCGCACACGAGATTCGGAAGTTACATTGCGTATCCGTTTTACAACTTTGAGCCGCACATCCGGTTCAGATTTTTTAGTCGCACACGAGATTCATGAGTTTACGCCTCATACCCGGTTTAGAAATTTAAATCACGCAAACGGATCAGAAGCTGAAGACCTACAATTGGTACGGAGAATCAAGAAAGAAAGAAAGAAAGAAAGAAAGAATGAAAGAAAGAAAGAAAGAAAATAAAGAAAAAAACAACAATTTTTTCAGGGATAACTTATCAGGAGGACTCCGTCTACTAGCCCATTCTTTACCAATCTCCGATCTTCCCAGATAATCTGTACCCATTTA